ATTGATCCGTATTTATTTTATTTTATAAACCTCGTCCAACGAGGTAATGCTTCTAGACTTGTACCTGGGATTATAATTGTTGTTATTCGAGGGAACTTGAAGAAAGGGATCTCTGGACAAATCTTGACATTAAAACCGTCAAAGTTATTTTCAAGTTGTTTTTTCTTCTTTTCTGGGCAACATTTCTTTCTGATTTGGGGGAGTGGGGGGGGGGGGGGGGGGGGTTATTTAGTCTTGTTTTACTCATAGTTTAACACTAGCCACAAGGTCTGTGCAAATGTTTTTTTTTTTTTTTTTTTTGCTGAGTAACCGAGCCTTGTATGTGAGCTGATATGTTGAGACCGATCTTCTATGGTGCTAAATTTGTATCATCGCAAGTTTAGTTCAAAGAGTGATAAGTAAATAAAATAAAATTTATGAGATTTACGTGCCAAATCAAGGCGGGATATATGGCATGCAGAACGAAGCAGAAAGAAGTTAATAAAGCCACCTGGGAATCATTTGACATGTAGCTAAAATCTCAGTTACGTGACAGTTTCAAAGCACCCCCGTCGAAGTCCCTGTACCTCGGCAAGGGTTTGAACCAGCCAAGAGGCAACAAACACATACCTGAGGTCTATTGACTAAATTTTTTTTATATGTAGTTTGAGGTTTATCATTGAAATTTCTAGAAATCAATTTGTCTTAAAAACACATCTTACAAAAAGTCATTCTGCCGGGAAAATTTATTGTCTATGCAGTTTATTATTATCTTAAAAATGTAAGAACTAACGCGCGATATTTATATATTTATCTCACTAAACCCCGTAGTCTCCATCTTTGGGAAGTTTAGATGTATCATGCTTTTAAATTAATTATCTGAAGCATCATTCAAACCCACTCACCCGTTTTTTGTTCCTATGCACGAAAAGGCGTTACACCCTAAAAAGAAGCCCGTGCATCTACTTTACCCCACAACACTCGGATAGCCAATCACCGCAACTTACGAATACAATTACGCGATTGACGATGACAAAGCATATGTTTAGACAAGAAAACGCCTGAGTTGTGATATTAAGCAATGTAAAACGTCACGCTGTGTACCAGTGTACCAAAGCGTTTACGAGTTACGCAGTGTACCAAAGCGTTTAGACCAGAGGGACGCATATCGAGTTCACAAGAGCCAACAGTCTTCTTGGTAGTTCGCTTCACGTACGATAAATTAAACGTTTTAGATGTTGACCTGCATGAACATAATTTTTTTTACCGGTCACAATTTTTAGATAAAATTTTGACCAGCTAATTTTATTGGCCAACATTGCTTTTTCACAATGAAGTTGAATTAACAATTTATTGGAATATTCGAGATGTAAACTTTTCTACCTCACAGCAACTGAAAAACATTTAGTTTAAGAATTGTACGTCGTCACTTGAAGCACCTGATCTTTCAAATCCATTTTGTTGCCGATAGTACGAGTCGCAGCGCACTCGATCACTTATATCGCTACTTTGGCGATTCTTCTGCGGTTAACGAGCTTCTAATATACTATTGACCTGTAGCCATTAAATTTTAAACAGCGCCCCTTGCGAGCAAAAGCGGATGTTCCCGGGTTGCGTTTCTTTTGTGTACTGCGTTACGTTCTTTCAAACGCTCTGTTAGTTTCTGGAGAGACGTTTACAGATCGTGCAATATGCGACGCGAGAACGCAGCTTTACGTCAACGTTAATTGGTCGTGTCTCGTGGACATTACAGCGCCCACTTAGCCGAGAGAAACAGGTCTATAGTCCCTGACGGCTTAAAGAACACAGGGTATGGCATCTTAAGTTCCCGCTTCTTTCTTTGCGATTGGTTCTGCAGTGCCAACGCCGCATTCTCATTGGCTGAGGAGCGTTAATAATATGTTCGTGGTTCGCCACGCCCTGCTCAAGCTTAAGCTGTCAGCGACTATGCGGAGCGCAAGTTCGTCTGCTTCTTTCGCAGGGGTTGTGGTAACGTCAGAACGCCACGCTCTGATTGGTTCTGAATGAAGGATTGTGGGTCGACCTGAAGGCAGCCTGCTTTGAGGCCTACCCAATCAGAGCCAATCAGAGCCAATCAGAGAGAGGTGTCTTTCAGATGTCACCGCAACTCCTGCGCAAGAAGCAGACGACTTGTTCTCTGCGCAGGTATTTATTGGCTCCGCGTTTCGCGATTTCCGGAACCGTTTTCTCCTAGGAAAGAAAATGCAAGGCCAGGGAGAACGAACCGAGTGCACGTGTCAAGGACTGTTTGTCCACTCGCAGAAAATCGACACGATGATTCGTCGCTTCGGCAAACGTTTTAGCCGGTTCCCCGAACAATAGGCTCGGAAAGAAAGGGACACGTGCCTCGGAGCAAGCAGGAACGAGCCGTCCGCGAGTTCTGTGGCCGGGTCGTCGACCGAGTCAATAAATTGCCACTGAGGATGTCGTTCATCGGCGACGACATTGGGGGGGAAGCTCTAACCAGCAGGGGCGGATATGGTCGAACTGTCCAGCTCCTGTCGAGACCCACAGCGCTGTCAGAGGAGATACTTAGAGTTTGCATGGTGTACTTTTTGTCTAGAAATACTAAATAAACTGCTTTGTTTGGGGGAATAAATACTGCCTCATTCCTCGTTGCCGGTTGTGTGCAAAACGTGTACTCTCTTTGTGGAGCTACCCGCGATTTTCAACGCGTGTTTTTTAACTTACTTTTACGGTGTCTTTTTCAAACCGCCAGGGGTTGTGAATGTCTATATCGGCCAGGAAGGCTGGCAAGAAAGCCTGCCTCCACAGAGTTTTTGTTCTAGGTGCTAGGTGCCGCCGATATTGCTAAAGTTGAAAATGGACCGTTTTTTTCTTTCTTTTATTTTCGTGGGCAGCACCATTTTGAATATTGCAGCGCCTCCTAAAGTGCGTAGAATTCTGCGACCGCGCTGGGTTGGGGCGAAAGCTTAACCTTTCTCATCGGCCATTGACGTGTGAAAGTGACGGTGTCCGTTGAACTGCACTTTCATGACCGCCATCAGGATCATTCTCTCGTTTGCCCCACCCCAGCAAGGAGTAAAGTTCACGGCAGCCCTTTCCCATTTCTCTCTCTCTCCCTTTCAGTAAAACGGTTTATATAACAATTTAAAGCAGTGCTATCAAAGGTCGGGCCACACCAGAGCCATCCCATGAAATATGCCCTAGCAGTACGTGCGCTTGAGTGAAAAGGATGAAGGACTCTTAAAGCGATTATCCGGTGATATCCGGAAGTTACTAAGTTTTTACGCTCGTCACGTAGAGAGGGCCTAAGTATAGTCAGATGTGATATTTGTTTTATTAAAAGACGCCCCAATATTCGTTAAATCCATTATAGGAAACTTTAAGCCAAATGCCTCAAGTATGCATGGCTGGTCGTGCCGTGACGTTACATCAGGCATGGTAACATCACAGTAGCGGGCGTTGACTTCTTCCTGGTTTTGATACATGGCTGATGGTGAGAACAAAGATCATTGTTGAAGAAATGAGCTCACCTCAATGCCGTAAATCTCGTGTTTCTAAGAACAAAGTTATTTTACTGAGACAGCAGTCAAGAGCTGTCGTGGCTCTCTTTGCATGATGCTACGTCAGAGCTTCCGCAGCTCCTAACTTAAACGCTGTGTGTTCTGTGGGTGTGATCTGAGCAGTTATGCTCTGTTCAATATTGACTCACTCGTCCGGTGGAGGATTCAAAATTCGAATATTGTGCGGATGATCTCGCAAAAAGAAATGACAATATAATATATTCGGTTTCTTAAAGACCAAATTTTACCGGACGATCTCTTTAAGGCTCTGTTACTCTCCGACGGTAGCAAACACGGCGTAGCGCAGCGCACACAGATGCTGATTGGTCGAAAACATCCAATTCCTGCTCGCCGGCCAATGAAAGGCTGCGCTACGCTGCGTTTGCTACGCTCAACGTCGAAGTATAACAGAGCCTTTAAAGGCGAAAGCGCACACCTTTGCCTCCCCCAATGTCGTAGTGAAGTTGAGTTTAAATTTGTACTTCATTAGTTATAGATCCGTAAATTCCATCCCAGTAAAATTTGACGGTCTGTTTGCTCCTTAAACAGAGCAAGAGTGAACAGCTTCACGATGCTCAAGGTCTCTAATGAGTGCACTGTATCAAATTCACGGTTTCTTATAACTGTGTATATTCACACCGGAAATGGCCTACGTGTGCACCAAACGGAGAGAAAATTGTTCACTAGCCCAGTTTTTATTTAATTGGATCAAAATACAGTAGCGGTCGCCACGCGCCGCCAGAAATGCACCCCCTCTCCCCCTATCCCGTGCACGTGACTCGGACGCCTGGTTCCCGAGGTCTAAAGGCCCCGCTCCCTGGACTTCGGGAGAATGCAAGAGATTTATGCAGCCCAACCTGGCTGAAGGGTGAACAGCATGCACTGTATCAAAAACACTGATATTGAGGAGAAATTTTAAAAGCGATTTGACAGGTCATTGGGGTATACCGTATATCAGACGCTTGTTCAGGGTGACTCCGAATTACGTTCAAAAGCTGTGTAACCAAGGATAGGGTCGAAATTACTGATAACCAAGGAGCTGAAAGAACACCGTTCCCATGATTCTTTTAGCGCGGGCCGGGGCACTTGGGAGATATAGCAAATGGTCTATTCACCAATATTCTTCTTAGTTGTGCAAGATGCGTGTTAGATCTGCGGTTATAAACTTTTTTTGTGCGTGCGTGTGTGTGTTTGTATCGTTTATACTTCTGTATAATACGTATTCATTTATATGTGTATTCATGTCCAATGATGTCATTTGGGTGACGGAAATACAGAAATCACTTAAATGTAGGGGTTCATACAAACTGGTAAATATTAAGCCTGCCAAAAAAAAAAAAGAGAAGACTGCGGGTAAAACCGAAACATACACTAAAAGGTCTCAATTTGACCCACAGTCTTCTGGGTTTCTTTTTTATGCTTAAGGTACCTACATAGAACGATCATTAAATTAATTTTGTTTCCTCCCCGCAGCCTGCAAGCTGCTGTCCATGGGCGTGATGGCCATCGTGGGTCCCACGTCGGCCGCGGGCTCTGCGGCGGTCAGCGCGGTCTGCCGGCGTTCACGGGTTCCGCACTTGGTCACGCTCGGCCAAGACGTGGACGAGGAAGCCGTGCGACATCCCGACACGTCCGTGTCCGTGCGCCTCTCGCCGGAACAGAGCGGGTTGTCCAGAGCGCTGAGGGACCTGGTCACTCGCAAGGCCTGGAGCACCTTCACGCTTCTCTACGAGGACAGCCAAGGTTCGTGGTGCGGCTCGCAACATGATGTGCGCTTATTATTTGCATCCGCGATGCCGGACGTAAGGCGGCGAACAGTAATGTAGTCAGGAATATATATATATATATATATATATATTTTTTTTTTGGGGTGGGGAGGCTGGCCTCCCCCCTGGCTACGCCATTGGTGGCAAAAGGTCCGTCCGTATGTACAGACCACGCTAATGCGCATGAAAGTACGAGAGAGGAGGAGACGAGAGGCGTTCTGGCGCCCCCCGTTTACACCATCTGGAATAAGAGATGCCCTCGAAGGCCCCATTCTTCCTCCGTGGAAAGCCATCACAGTCGCTTGGTGCCGACTCGGTAATTGGTCCCGAGCCCGACGCCGAACGCCTTTCGACGCGTTGATTGGACCAGGGGCCCAGCCGACCACTAACTCAGCACTCGTATCCAATCCGCGTCTTCGCTGGATCTCACTCCGATGACGTTAAACTTCTAGTGCGCACACGCTTTCGTTATTAAAGTAGGTGGTGGTGCCTCCACGCGCTCATTTTGTCCTCTCCCTAAGGTTCTACCTGGCTATGGAGAAGATTTTCGCGGACGAACTGGGTAAATGCGTGCGTTTCTGTCTCGTTATATTAAGCACAACTCGGGCTATGAATGCTTTTTAAGAGAGAACGGTGGTGTCCATATCAACGAGACATCTTTGTAATTCTCCGGTTCTTAAATAAACTAGAGCGTCCCCGAAAAAAACAAATCATGGTGTTTGCTTGTTTGTTTTTATCGTACAAATAATCTGCGCGTTTCAGAACGCTCGGTCTCTACCCAAATGTAGCGCTAGCGGCCCCACCAAATTCCGAAATACTAGAGCTAACCGTCACCTGATCTAAAGCACATACCCGATTTTCGACAAAATTCAATGGGAAAACGGCGGCCGACGAAGCCAACGAATAACATGGAGCGGAATGGCGTTTCAACTACCGGGCACGAGACCGTTTTTCCAATCCAATTTTTCGAAAGTACCTGATAATAGAGAGTTTAAGGGAACCGATTTTGCACATTCGATACGGTACGATGGGCTCTCCGGTACGAACTGCGTTCGTACCGGAGAGCCCATAGTACCGTATCGAACGCGCAAACACGGTTCCCTAAAACTCTCTGATAATTATTATATGATAATGGTATGTTTTTTAAGCTTTGACAGCTGGCTCGGACCGCTAGAACTACATTCGGACGGAGAGTGAGCCTTCAGCAATCCGTAGCTTATTTGTTTGGTGAAAAAAACACAACACCGCTAATTGTTTTCGGAGAGATGTTGAGGTCGGAAACCTTCGGTGGTTTTCGTACTAGTAATGCTTGTCACCAGATGCGATCTTCACAGGACTAAAAAACCGTAAACAGATAGAAATAGAAATTTATTTTAAAAAAATTGACTGCTCTTTTAAAGCGAATGTAGCCCACTTCGCGTGGCGTTTCAGCTATTCCGAAATCATATGAACCCTACATAGGTATCATGGTACAGGTGGCGTTTCCAATCGTTCATCTTTTTTTGACGGTTTCGTGGCTTCTCCGATTTCGACTGCCAACTTTCTCCACGGTGGCTTCTCCGATTCCAAGCTCATTTGTTAGGCTCTCTGAGCGATCTGATTGGCTGACTCCTAACGTCGGCAGCGCGTCCCTGATGCTTGAATTTCACCATTGGGCAAACTTCGCTTCTGGTCAAGAAATCCATCCAGTCAAAAGGTTCAATAATGTATCTCTTGGCGCGTTGGACCCTCTGACTCGCCAGACACGAGTCAAGAGGTCCAACGCATTGAGAGATCCGACGAGGCAGGAGATCCATGGAGTGTCAAAAGGTCCTCCCAGTCAAAAAGTCCAACGAGTTAGGAGGTCCAGTGTTGGATCTCCTGACGCTTTGGATCTCTTGATTTGGTAGACTCGAGTCGAGAGATCCAATGTAATTTAAGAGGTCCGATGCGCCAAAAGATCCAACGAGTCAGGAGGTCCTATAATGGATCTCTTGAGGCGTTGGATCTTTTAACTCAACAGACGTGAGTCAGGAAATCCAACGTGGGTCAAGGGGTCCAATGACTCGAGAACTGCAGCGTCATATTGCAAGGACTTACCCCTCACCATTTCTTTCCTAGTAGCAGGGAGGTACCTTTAAAGCAAAGCAATTTCGGTTTATCACTGGTCACAATCGACCTCCATGTAACAAGTGCCGTCAGCGGAGTTTTCTTCGAACTACAAACGAAGGGCAGCCCAACTTGTCCCCCGCCCGTCAGAATAGACTGGCATCGTGCCGTTGTATTGGTCTTCGTTGCGTTTTATGTCCCAAACTAGCGTATACTCAAACAAGAATGTCCAAAAAAGACGAAATACGCGCAGATAGGTGCTGAATATGTTGGTCGACCGTATCTTTGCCTCGCGAAAATGGCGACAGGGGGAAGCAAGGCACGGGACGGGGTGAACGCATCCGCAGAAGCTTACTGGAAAAGTTTTCATTTTTCTATTATTAAAGGGGCCAAGAAACAATTTTCGGACTTCGGCCAAACAAGTGTGGCAGTTACTCTCCCTCAGTTGTAAACAACGACGAGAAAACAATTCCTGCCTAGGTTTTTTTTGTTTTTGTTTTAAAAAATGAAGCAGATTCAAGTTAGACGGGCCGATCAACTCCCCATCGTTTTCCGGTTTGCGGCCTTAGTAACGTGAGACGGGCCCGAGGGGAGCACCCGGACACATCCGGAGTGCTTTTCTTGGCTTCGGTTAGATGGCGCCAATAGAACTGCGCGTAACAAAAATCAGTAATATAAAGCTTTTGTCAGGTAAAATCATGTTTTAGCGACATAATTAAAAAAAATTACCTCGTAACAAACAGATACTTGCTGAGCTTGTTAATTGAAAACACTGCCTCCCAGTTCACCTCACATGCGTGGTTTTCTTAGCCGGCACGAGCGGCTGCAGGACGGAAACTAGTCCCGCACTCGCAGCACTTCGAGGGCACAGGGCGTGCTTTCTTTTACTCGTGCTAAGGTAAACCAAACGAAAGTGACAAGCCCCAGATTCTTTTAACGTTAAAATCGTTTCATGGCCCCTTTAATATGCACCTTAGATGGCTACTTCGAAGAGAGGAACACCCGATAATTACCCGGCTCTTTCGTGCGGAAAAAAAAAACAAAAAACGAACTTGGCCACTGGGAATGGAATATTGCAAGAAATATTAATAATACCGTATTTACTCGATTCTAAGCACCCCCTTTTTTTCACAATCGCGATGCCCAAAGTGTGTGTGTGTGTGTGTGTGGGGCGGGGGGGGGGGTGCTTAGATTCGAAAAATCTAGAATGACCCGCCCCCCCCCCCCCCCCCCCGCTCTTTTCGCTGCGACATGACGACGAGACGGGTGCGAGAAATAACATTTTATTTTGCAAACATTCAAAGGAAAAATCGGTGGAGACAGTGAACCCACCGTTTGTGTCGGATGCTCAGTCACTGTCACCGCCTACCAAGCTCGTCGCACCGCTTGAACCGCCGCTCTCTGTATCCCAGAGCAGGTCGTCTTCCGTTCCGTCCAAGTGGTTTGTGATCGAGCACGCAGCAACGGCGAGCACGGCCGGACTGGAAAGGCGCGCGGGCGTCACGACCCCGCGCGCCTCTGCATACGGGGGTGCTTAGATCCGCATGCAAACTTTTTTTTTCAGACGTTTATGTTTGGAAGTGTGTGGGGGCGGGGGGGGGGGGGGGGGGGTGCTTAGAATCGGGGCGTGCTTAGAATCGCGAAATAATAATATAATAATAATAATAATCATAGTAATAATATTTTTGGAAAGGCGGGTTGAAATTTTTGTAAACTTTTGCTTCCTAACAAGCTTTCATGTTCGATATAAAATATATCGCAATTTTAAATTAGCATTTGGTAAGCGGTTGCTGTAATGAATCGAGGGATGCAAGGCGTGTCTAAGAACGAGAAAGGTACGATTTTTTTTAGGCTTTGTTACATGTGAGTAAAAAAATTCTGTCTGAATGATGAAAATAAACAAGGTACCGTACATTAAACCTAGAAGTAACATATGGTTCCCGTGTTTATACAAACCGAGAAAACAATACGTCCCATCGCAATAAATGTAAATACGTATAAAGGTGTGCACAGCTTTTTATCAATGCTGCGCAGCCGGGACACCAGCCAGTGAAGAGTACGCATGCTCAGAAGACAAGGGGTACTAGGTTCCTTCTAGATCACCTTGTAGGTCTCGTATAACTTATGGGAAATACATTTCACTTGTGCGGAAAGCTAACTCTGTGAGCGCCGCACAACAATGACGGTGCTGCGTGTTTGGAGCTGCCCATCTATTCCCGAGGACACCTCATTTGACGTTCGTCGCCGTTGGGGCTTCGTTGTTCAACCAACTACGAGATACCTTGCTTGGAATTTTTCCATTCTCCATGCGAGATCGGACAGAGAAAATTAAGATGATTAACCGCACACAATCAACACAAATCTGAGTTGTGTTTGTGGATATTGAGACAGCGCAATGCTCGGCAACCATCCAAGAGGCGAGAGATCTCCAGCACGCGACTTAGCATTTACGAGCCAGATCAACCGATCGTGCGCTGACAGTGTGTCACGTGTCCTTTCGGTTTGGCGCGGGGACGCGCGGAGCGAAATGTCCCGTGACGCTCTTGCCGTACCGGACTGACTGCGATGGCTTCTAGTATCGGCTGCAGACCATCCTTAGGTGAAACAGAGCCTATGATCTTTACGTGCAGAACGCCGAAGATGGTTCACCGTACAGCGGGGTGCCAGTTAGCAGTCATGCTGGACTGGCCATATCGGCAATGTACTCTGCGCAGACATGTTGACCCTCTGAAGAATGACTGACCAACATTACGCTGTCCAAATAATTCACACAACCTTAAACCTCCTGCCAGTTTAGCTCATGCTGTGTTTGCGGAAAGCAAGTCGTTTGCTTCTTGCGCAGGAGTTGAGGTGACGTCAGCACGACGCCAAGCTTTGATTGGCTTTAAC